CCTTCTTTTTTTATAATCCATGATCCCTTAATTTAGGGTAGAGTTGGGGCAATTGGATGGAGCCGAGCATTTACTGGCTGAATGCAGTGGTGGGATTCAGCCAGTTCATACCACTTCGTCAGAACTGGTAGCTAATTTTTTGTTGCCCAGACCCAGAATGGACTTCCGGAAGCAGCATCTACACAGAGAATCGGTTGTTCTCATATTTGAATTCCACCACTAGCTGGATGCCCTTCCTGACACAATGCAGAGTTCACAGCAGATATTTTTTTCTTTGCACTCTAGGAGAGAAACATTTGTCACTACCTAGGACTGAACTCTCAACCTTCCAAGTGGGAGGCGAGAGTCTTCACCATTAGGTCACCATGCTGCTCATATAGCACCAATCTCTTGTCCTTTTATTCTTGCAATGTCTGACAAAATCCCTTTTTCTTATAGCTTTTCAAAGGAAAATTCTACCATTGCCTGGGTGTTGATATACGAAATATCACAAATAGGTCTGACTGCATGGCTGCCAATTACAAATGGGTACATCACAAATACAACTTTGATAATCTGGGCCAGGTAAATATAGAATCCTCCAAAGTATATTAGACCTACTTAAGAGTTATATGTAGCAGGACTATACCTCCAAATATTTAGATGCCTTCACAAATTCCTAATCATAGTATTACTTTGCTTAGGTTATCTTCAAATTATTTCTTGTTACATTGGTACAAAATGAGTGTGCTTGCTAGTTAATCAGAATGAGAAAGAAGCATTGTTAAATACTTCTCTTTAGTTTCAGTAGAAAATATTTATGTAGGTGTTTATTATGTTAATTTTCATACAATCCTTCAGCCACATTTTTCCTTGGTCAAAATACAATACAATAATCAATATTTCTGTTATTAAAAGAATATAGCAATCCAGTTAAATAAAGAACGAACATATTAGAATCATATTGTATGTAGTGGCCATGTAAATAGTGCTTAACTTTGTCTTAAATCAGGATCAAAAAAGTAGTTCTTGATCTATGACTGTTCATTTAATAATGGTTCAAACTTGCAACAGCCTCAGAAAAAGTGTTTTATGACCTGTACTCACATTTACAACCATCGCACCACTTCCGTGGTCATATGATCACAGTTTGGGCTTTTGTCAACCAGCTTGCATTCACGACTGCTTGCAGTCGTGACTTTGTGACTTTTTTTGCCGGTTTATTTTGTTTCTGGCAAAAAACCTCCATTGGGGGGAGCTGGATTCGCTTAACAACCATGTGATTAGCTTTACAATCAGTGTAAAAATGGTTGCAAAATCAGGACTGATCACATAGTGACTCGACAGGAACATATCAACTTAACAATCGTAATTCTCATCTCCATTATGGTCATAAATCAAGGGCCACTTGTACAGCATATTTTAAATACCTTTCAAAAGTTTGTCATATTTTTCATGTAGCAGAATCATAATGCTCTATCATCCATAATTTGTTCTATGCCCAAATCAGCCCAAAAAATATTTTAGTGTAGTTGTGCTTTTCCCCTTTTGTGTTCCCTGGCCCAATTTCCAAGTGATATTAGTAACTGATCCTTTGCTGATGGAGAACTTGACAGCTACTTAAACCCATCTGTGAAGAAAGATGTCACCCATTCTGTGATATCAAATAGGAGCTTGAAGGTGACAGCCTAATTGCAGGTGAAAAACAAACCCTGGTTCTCTTTTTGTTCTTTTGCCTGTTTCCAGGTGATAATATGGAAGCATCAAGGATGTCTTGAAGAGTAAATGTGTCGTTTTCCTTGCATATAGTAGGGTTTATAGGAATAGGCATCATCTCTGACCTCCATGAAGTGCACTTCCTTTTCAGCATAGGGTCTGAATTGTATAAGCAGAAAAGCTAAAACTTACTGCCAAGCCCAAAATCAAGAATGACATATGGTGATTCTTCCAAGTTGAGTACTTTTTTGCTTCACATCTATGGACAAAGTTTTGGCAAACTGCACACTCTACTATCTGCATCTACAATATGTATTTATTTGGTGAATTTTTAGATAGGGGCTATCTTCACCTTCTTTCTTTCACACATAGTTTCTGGACTAAATTGCTTTTTACTCCTCTGGAATGCACCCCCTCCCTCCTAGGAATCCACTCCTTATTACAGTCTATTACATATACATAGTTTGTCCACATCTCTCTGATTTGCTATTTAATTTATCTTATATACTCTGTTTAATTATTGATATTACACTACCTTCAGAAACCTGCTGGCAGTTTTCAAATATAAAAAAATCAATCAGGTGTATGGAAAACAGCTATATGTGAATAACAGGGAAGGACATTGAGAGTTGGTGGTTTAGACAAGATATTAAGAAACACCTTTTTCAGGAAAAGAATTGCTGAGGAATGAACATGGTTGTTCAGGAAAACTGCTGAGTTTTAGGATATAAGGACTTTTAAAAGAATAAACTCTGAGGGTTTTATGTGGGGTGCTTTATATTTCTGATTCCTTTATTTCCCTGTTTGTATGCACAATAAATTAACTCAGAATTCATTACCACCACTATGTTTTCTTAATAGATGTGCTGTGTGGTGTAGTTGGTGAAAAAACTGTACAGAGTACTGCAATTTTTATCTTTTAAAAATGCAAATAAATGGCATAAAACTATGTGACAATCTCATCTATTTCAGGCTTTGATGTCGCTCTTTGTTCTGGCTTCCAAAGATGGCTGGGTTAATATTATGTACAATGGACTAGATGCTGTGGCTGTGGATCAACAGGTAGAGAAGTTACCTCATACTTTCATCTTTCATATTGTTTTGAACTGAACTATTAGGCAGACTGAATGACCTGCCATGCCATGCCATGCCATGCCATGCCGCAATGATTCAGAGAGAGGGAGAGAACACACACACATATGAACTGTATGTATATTATTATGTTGGTCCTTTCCATTCTCTCATTTTGGCATAACTTTTCTAATTTGTTGTGGATACCACTATTATACCAGAAGCAGATTATCTTTCAGGTAACTAACAAGGATAAAATGTCTAATGTTTTTCCTTATTTGTTTGATAAAAATGTGAGATGACCATTGTCTTCTTTATCTCCTAGTGGTCTCTCAGTTGTGGCATATATTTGGGGGTATATGATATGATCTTCTGATTTCTACTCTTTGGCAGTGGTTTCCATCCTAAGAAAATCCTCATAGCTGAACAGCTACAACCTAATGCTTTTCCTGTTCAGTTTATTAATAGGAGACCACTTTCTAAAACAGATGGTGGCTGCATAGGACCAGACAGTCTTGGTGATATATTACACCCACACTGTGATTTCTGTTTGTTCTCTTCACAAAGCAACATGGTTTTATTTCTGACAGGCCTTTTGAAAGAACTATTTACTAGTCTAGTCTCCAAATAGTTATAAGGATGTTTATTTACATTTATAAACAAATGCTTATTTACATAGGGGAATATACAACTATGAACACACATAATGAATTTGGAAAAACTGCATTTTTGACAAAAGAAAAGTTATTTGGTACATTTGAAGACTTTCCAGTCCAAGCATTAATTTGTTTCATATTAATTTGTTTAATGATATGCAATAAATGTACAGCTGTTTATTTCTTATTTTGTTAGAGGGAAGATGTTTAGACATGTTACTACTAGATGGGTGCAGAGCTGGTTGAACAATTGTAACCAATTGTTACATTACCAGCTCCTGTTCAGTCTGGAAGGAAACGTTGGGACCTGTTTTCTTCTATATGATCTGGCTGAGAATTTAGAAAATACAGTAGTCAGATGTGCAGATGACACATGGATGTAGGAGATAACAAAGGAGAGAGGATAGTTTCATGATTTAAGAGGATGTTAACAGGCTGGAACAGTGGGTAGAAACCAGCAAAAAGGACAGGGATAAATACTAGGTCCTTAATTTGGGTAGGAAAAATCAAAGGCCACTGGAACTGATCTTGGTGAATCACAAACTGAACATGAGCTAATAGTGTGATGCAGTTCGCAAAACAAATACTTTAATGATTATATTATTATAATTATATTGTCAGTGTTGATAATATTACTATTGACATGTCTGATCATTTTGACAGTTCTTTCTTTCTTATACTATCCTGTATTTATTTATATGTTCTATTATAAGCAATTTTAAATGGTATGATTGAAGAAGCATAGACGCATTTGTAAGAGATAAATGAAGAACATTATCCCAGGCAACATACATCAACAGAAGTATATAGGTGGTCATTTAATGGCTACTTGTTCATCAACTGTTTCAACTTACAAAGGTGCTGAATGAGTGATACTTATGACTGGTCTTTCAGTTTATGGCCATCACAGCATCACTATCATCATGTGAGAATGATGCAGGCACTGGGCAATTGGCCCAGATTTCTGACCCTCACAGCATCTCATGGCTATATAATTGCGAATTATGTCTTTCCTTACAAGCTTCCTACAAACAAAGTCAATGGGGAAGTCAGCAAGAACTTGGAGGTCACAATCACATGAGGTCATTATATAATGACCTGCCAGTGATTAACTTAATGACAATAACCAGGGACTGCCTTTCCTGGGTCACATCTATCTATCCCAGTGGTGGCGAACCTATGGCACAGGTGCCAGAGGCGGCACTCAGAGCCTTCTCTGTGGGCACACGCACCATCGCCCCAGTCCTAGGCCTTCAGCTGGGTTTTATAAAACCTTTTCGCTTTAAGCCTCCGCCACCATGTGCAAAAAAAAAAAAAGGTTCCATCAGTCAATTTCAATTTCTCACGGGAAAAAAAAGATCTTGCAAAGTTGGAATTGATTGATTGAACTTTTTAGTCCCACCCAGTCTGCCATTACCCAATTGGCCATGCCCACCCAATTGGCAACACCCAGCCAATGGGCCACACCCATCTGGCACTCAACGATGCATAAGTGGGTTTTGGGTTGCAGTTTGGGCACTCAGTCTCTAAAAGGTTCGCCATCACTGATCTATCCCATCAGGTCTGGCAGAAAGAGCATATAATGGGTCCTATCCACAAAGGAATGTCATCTGTCAGGATCCAGGATCCAGCCTTTTCTGCCACCTCCTGGATCCTGTCAGATGCTGCCTGCCCTTTGGAACATCTTCCCCCTGAGATGAGATTGACCCTGACTTTGGCCTTCTGGAAGAGCCTGATGATGTGGTCTGGGGATCTGGTGATATTGGTGGAGAACCCACTAAGTGGTTGTGTGGTTAGGAAAATAAATTGTGCTCTCCAGCAGATATTTTTTTTACAGTTTTAATAGTTTTTTATTGTTTGTTGTGTTTTAATGGCTTTTGTGATTATACTTTTTGGTTGTGTTTTGTTTTTGTTTTGTATTTTTAACATTGTAAGCCCCCTGAAATAAGACAAGTGAGATACAAAGCTATGCAAATTTAACCAACAAATGAATAATTACTTTTCCGAGCTACCCAGCTTTGCTACACCAAGTCAACAATATAAAAATATACTCTTTTATATTGTAAGCAAATTCCTTTTAAAAGAGTTTAGGAATATTCTTCAAAAAGTTCACAGATCTGCAAAACCAATCTGGCTTGACTTTTAAAATCTATTTAATCTAGGAGGGATTATAGAATGAGAAAAGTAAATATAGTTAATTGTACTGCAATTGGTCTCTAGTAACAACTTGCAGTTCTTTCAAGTATAGCCCTGTAATTTCCTTTATCCCCATCATCTACTTAATCCTTTGTGTTTTCCTTCCACTTCCCCATTCTCCCACTTCTGCATTCTCCCCAATCAGGATTATTTATTCCTCTCCATTATCTGCTTGCATCACTTGGCCATGTATATCATTTCTATTTGCTGACAATTGCATCAAGGGAACAATCAGTTTTTATTAGATCCAGGATTGATTGATTCTTACTGTCATCTGTGGTGTTCTTAGTAACTGTCTCCAGATCCATTATTTGAAAGCATCTGTCTTTTTCCCTTGCTTTTTCTCCATGTCCAGAAATATCTTTGAACTTGTAATAATTTGTCATTGCCTTTCTTCTTAGAGTGAAACCCTTTTTATTTCTCCAGCATCCTGTTCAGCATTATTGTTAATATTCCATATTCTCATATTATCTACAAAATTAAACGCCTTGCTAAATTAATAAGACAAAGAGAAACCTTAGATTCACTATTATCTATCTTAAGTTCTGTATTTAACCTTGTGTCTATGCTTTGCTGTATTCTTCTGTGTAAATTATTAAACATAAATATTCTTCTCTGAGGAATTAGTTCTTTCAATAATCTGCAATAGTCTTTTGCATTTCTCCTGGTTGGTATGTATTTTCCAATCTGTAAGCCATGTAGCCTTTCTAGTCTGTAGGCCATGCAGTATGAGTTGCTGTAGAGTTGTGATTAACTCTTCTCCTTCAGAGAGGAATATTCAGGGGATATTTTTTTCTCTGTCTGGAGCTCTCCTGATTGGCATTGTTTTGTTACCTCTTGTATCTCACTTTTTAGTATAGTTGTTTTCTTGGCAAGATTTGAAAAGTATTTTGCCATTGCCTACTTTCTAAGGCTGAGAGAATGTGACTAGCCCAAGGTTATCCCCCTGGCTTTATGCCTAAGGCTGGTCTAAAACTCAGTCTTCCAATTTCTAGTCTGGTGCTGCACTGAACTGGGTCTCCAACAGACTGACTCAATATTCCAATAGCTTATTCTTTTTCCCTTTGAAATTGGAAAATTCGGGAATTGTTTTCACTACTGTTTCCAAGATATTTCTTATCTCTTTCCAGAGAGATAATAATTTGTTCTTAAATTCACTTTAACATAATTTAGCATACTGAATCTGATGTTTATATTGATCCTGTACTCTGAGTGTATGTCCTTCTGATCAATTTTTGCTGGCAGTCTATTCCCTTTCTAACTTCAGTCTGTATATTTTATACTGTAAATTCACAATTTGCATCTGGAAAAGCCCTATTGATTGAATTGTGATTCTCCATCTTACATTTCCTATTGATTTCAGTTGACTTGACTCCAGTATTGTCCATCTGGTAATGCTCATGCATAAAGTCTCTGTTTATGTTGTTTGAAGCATGTGTTAGCAGTAAACAAAGAATAATCTCCACAAAATTCAATTTACCTATCTCCTTAATATTGCATTTGCCCTGTCCAATTTTTTCTGTAATTCCAGATTGTTTTTTGTTTCTCTAACTTTGCATTCCAAGGACCTATTAGTAATAATCTAGTTTTCCTTATGCTGCATTCTCCCCTCACTCCCAGTTTCCCTACCCGCCCATCTTTTATTCTCAAATCTCTGTATTCTCATTGTTTTCTTTTTCATTGTTTATTCTATTGTTCCATTACTTTGCTACTGTTCTGTTTACACTTCTTTTCATTTTTTCCTGTTTTTATTGTTATGTACTGCCTAGAAGCACATACCTGAGGGTGTCTTCCTTTCCCTCTCTCTGAATAATATATTGTGTAATCATATGACATAAAGTGGTCTATTCATTCATTCCTAAAACATCCTGTTTGGTATACTATCCCCACTCTGACGATTTCACATTGTCCTTGATTTATGCATCTCACATTCCTTGTTCTATGGAGATCATGTGACTGTGGGACATTGCAACATTATAAATGACAGCCAGTCTCCAATCACCAAACTGTGATCACATGACCACAGGGACACTGCAATGGTCATAAGTATAAGGAACCATCATAAGTAGGGCCTCATTCAGTGCCATCATAATTTTGAATACTCACTAAACAACTGGATGTTAAATGAGGACTACCTGTATGCCTTCATAAAATGGCAAACTACTTTTTCAGTACTGGCATCATCAATGCCAAACGTCCTTGCAATTTGGTCACATAATCATCTCCATATCACACACATGAAAGTTCAAGCTTTCTCCATCATATTTAGAGGACATTTTAATAAATATTTCAGCTATATCTAAATAGTTGTTTAGCAACAATTGCAGAAATGGTTTGCCTTTCTTCTGGTTAGATTTTGGAGTTCATTCTCAACCACTACGACCAGCAATATATATATATATCCAACATCTGCAGAATATCACATTGATGGAGGCTTACATCAAATATATCTAATGGCTAACGGCAATTCTGTGGAGATTTCAAAGAATCCCATAGAAAGATAACTTTTTTATTTTACAGAATACTTGCTTGCAAATAACAATGCTACCACCTCATTATAAATCTTTTTGTAATGTCAACCTTATTAAACTTAGCTGCTTGTTTTACTTTTTTATTTACATTCCAGCCAGTGACCAACAACAACCCTTGGATGCTACTTTACTTCATTTCTTTCTTACTCATCGTCAGCTTCTTCGTGCTCAACATGTTTGTAGGGGTGGTGGTGGAGAATTTTCACAAGTGTCGGCAACACCAAGAAGCCGAAGAGGCCCGGAGGCGGGAAGAAAAGCGTTTGAGGCGCCTGGAGAAGAAGCGTAGGAGTAAGGAACAACCTAAGTGGTCTTTTTGTTTGTTTGTAGGCCAAGGTTTTCTGAGACAAATTTTATTTCACTATAAACCTGATGTACATGTGTATATATTAGAACCATGTGTTGGGAATTTGCTGAGGTGCTGCCAAACTGAGCTTTTCCTTTCTTCATCTCAAGGAAGGAACTATTTATTTTCTGTTGGGCTCTGAAAGCTGCAGACCTTTTTACAACTTTAATAGACTTTGTTTTAGTGCATTTCCACACTAGGAATTTATTGCGGTATCTTAGTTCATCCAATCTTTGTTGTGTCAAGATAACAGCAATGAGGATGGATTCTCTTCAACAAAGAGAGCTGGGTGATACTACACTATGCTATGCTATGCTATGAAGACATTCTAAAGCACTAGTAGGAAAATGGCCTAACTCAGCAGTTTTAAGTAAATAAAGCTCCTTGCTTTAAAAGGGAAGTGTGACCTTAATTAACTCAACCTTACCTCACTAACTTTTCCCTTCCTGTTCATCTTAAAGATTTGTTTGAATGCACCTCGTTCCTGTAACAATGTTGCTCCCTTTATTTTCCCCTTCCCTTAGATTTACTCTTGAGTCTAAACCAGTGTTTCTTAACCTTGACAATTTTAAGGCATGTGGACTTCAACTCCCAGAATTCCACAGCCAGCAATGCTGGCTGTGGAATTCTGGGACTTGAAGTCCACATGCCTTAAAATTGTCAAGGTTGAGAAACACTGGTCTAAATGTTTCAGAGTTCTCCTCTTTTTCTTCCTTTCTGCTATTTACCTTCCTTTTTGTTTTCTTCCCTTCCCTTCCTTTTATTATATTTCTGTAATATTGCTTCCTATTTTCCTTTCCTTAATTATTGTTCCTTTTTTCTTTCATTTCTTTTCCTTTCTTCTTCCCCTTTTCTTTCAATTCCCTCTGTATGTGCCTCTCTCTCGCTCGCTCTCTCTTTCTCACATGCACACACACGCACACGCACGCACACACGCACACATACACACATGTCCTAATCTGAACTCCCTCTTTTCTACCTTTTTTCTGATTTGCTCTCTCACCTCCATTGAAGAAGCACAGCGCTTGCCGTACTATGCTACCTACTGCCCTGTCCGCCTCCTCATCCATTCAGTCTGCACCAGCCACTACTTGGACATCTTTATCACCTTTATAATCTGCCTCAACGTTGTCACCATGTCTTTGGAGCACTACAACCAACCAGTGGTGAGTTCAAGAAACTATTTTTTTTATTGCCTCTATGCCCTTTTTTCTTTCTCTTTATTCTACATTAAAAGAACTCCTGCTGACAAAACATAAAATCAGAGATCTTGACAGTTAGTAGGAAAACTTGGCAGTGCTTAGAAAGTTATTCAGCAAAAAAAATTTCTTGTCTCAGATGTGTTACAGAGAAGTACTACCTAGAAAGAAAGCAAGTTCCTTCATAGTTGCCAAATATATTTTTTCTCCGTTACCCAATTCATTAAATTATCTTGATTACCATTTGCACCTGATCTGGCCTAGCAATGCGGAAGAAATTATGTATTTTGCATTTTCAGGTGAATTGAGGTGAGGAAAGCCCCCAATCAAAAATTCGGTCAAATTCGGTCAAAACAGAGTCCTATGCAAGCATGGGGCTAACTGGTCCCATGAGATTTCCCTTCCCTTTTAAACTTTTAAATTATTCTGATTTTAATGTTTAATTTTATTGATATTGTATACTGTCCAGAACCCCTTTCTCTCTGGGAGATGAGTGGTTAAGAAATATAAAATATAAATAAATATATTTATTTAAATCATATCCTTCCTCCCAACCTCCCCATGAATGAAAAAAATTATACTTGGATAATTGCACTTATTTAAAGTTTTGGATGCAGTTTCTTGATCAATAACTCCACACCACAACCACAACCAAATGTCTGCATTAGGGAGAAGTAAACAAAAGTGTATGTGTGTGTGTGTATGACAAATATGTATATAAACTTTTATTTGATACTTATATGAATAAATTTAAAACAGTCTAAAGAAATATATGAATACTTGTATAAATATTGCAAGATATCTGCACCATTATAAAAATGATGCAAATTTAATACCAAATACCATTATCTGTTAGCATTGAAATGTTTGCATTGCAGCACATAGGGTAAGATATATTTCTTAATTGCTATCTTTTGTCCCACAGAGCTACAAATTCAGGAAAGTACATCATCTAGTGGGGAATTATCTGGGAGATCTTTTATATAGCATCTTTCTAAATCTTCTGTTGACCTTGTAAGAAATCACAGGAGCAAATGTATATTCCTGGGCCTAGCATTCTTTAGTTTATGCGCCATAGTTTATTATCTCCTTCCTTATTAAATCCATCAAATTTTTAACCATGGAAGACAAATGTTTTTACCTTCCTGTCACAGCATTTTTTTAGTGGAATGCTTATAAAAAGCTTTAATTATCCAATCCTTTGGGGTGAGCTTCAATAGCTTCATACAAGTTGACTATCTTTGAAAAAAATCCTCCAAATGCTATAGAGAATGAAGTTCTCTTCAGATAGATTTTCTCTTTGGGAATGCAATACGACTCATTTGCAGCTGAATATGATGAATTCTCATTCATCAATTTTTGTGTAATCTGCATAATAACAGATGTAATTTGCACAGAACTGTACCTAATGTGCTAACCATAAGCCTTCCAGATGTGTCACTGAAACATTGGAATTCCTATCCTTCTTTCCTTTTACAACACATAATGATCTGGAAAACGATACTACTTGGCCAAATCTGGCACGCATTCTATTTTATGTTTTTTTTTCTAGTTCTTTCATATTAATGAGAATATCAAAAATGAAATTGAGGCCTCCCTGAGAATTAGTGGATACCATCTTCTTTAATCGCCATTATCCTCTCTTCTATTATACCTAGAAATTATTTAATACTACAGTCCTTTGACAGAATCTCTATTGAATTTAATGAATAACATTGGGTGAATGGTCACCAAATAGTTTGCCAAACATTAGAATGCCAGCATAGAAAAGGGTATCTATTCCATTAGCTGTGATAAATTGAAACTACTGATTAATACTTTGAAAATCCTTGAACAAATATCTCCTCACAGTTTATTCTTCCACTTAAAGAGAAAAAACATACATCAAACTTAAAAGCCATGTACAGTACATAGTAATTTTAACTACAACTCTGCACAAGTATGGTATGGGGGATATGCTACTGTTTTTTGTAAAAAGAATAAAGACTAGCGATCCTTCATGGAAATTTGCCAAAAAGGAACAATGAAGAAAGTATTAAAACAATAAAGGTACCCTATGTCAGACAATTCTATTCATATCAAGAATTGTCTGACATAGGGTATCAGTGTTCAAAGATTTTGGCCACCCTGGCTGCTGCTGTACCTGTTGCTGATTGTTCTCTATCCATGCTGGGGGAGATGAAAAGTGGAATTCCAAACTGTCTTTCCAAACTCACCACCATTTAATTATGTACATGTAAAGATTAGCATTAACACAATTCCATGGCAGCAGTCTTTCCCTCCTGCAGTAACAACTGACAGTGGTGAGCCTGAACTCTTTCATGCCGTCATCTTAATTATGCTAGTTCTAACAGCAGTGTATGCACATTAGGAATGGCAGGATGACAGCACTGATGAGTTCAGGTGCATTGCTCACAGCTCTGTGTGCAACATTATTGCTTTCATTGTCATGGCATCTTTATATCTGAGCAGCTTAACCACCTGAAAATAAATCAGTGGCCCCTCAAGGGCAGGCAATCTCCCAAGATCTGAAGCCAGGTCTGATTACTCATCCTCCTAGCATCAGACCTAATGTTGATTGTCTTTTCCTTATCCTCCTTTCAAGCATAAGGTGAGACACTATATTGTTATTCTCATGCAACTTGCACAGTACTTTCATCCAACCTTTTCAGTATTTTAAAAATAGGATAAACTGTTTTCCTGCTCTGAGTTGGCAGAAAGATGTCATTTGCACAAAGACCAACCAGGCAATGCTGCCCCCAACTCTGTTCCATTGGGGCAAAGAGAAAGTTGGTATTTATCCTAGAAACTACCAAGGAGAACTATGAATGTGTGGGATCTGTTGCAAACTGAGAATTTAATTGGAATGTAACAAGAATTTTTTTAAAAAGAGAATGCACTTCCATATTTTCATCTTGTTTCTTTACCAGCTACAGACCATATCAGTCCCAGAACTTTATGTTAGTAATATTTCCATTTCCTCTTATTCGTAGTCCCTGGAAACTGCTCTTAAGTATTGCAACTACATGTTTACTACAGTCTTTGTTTTGGAAGCAGTTTTGAAGCTTGTGGCCTTTGGACTGAGACGCTTTTTTAAAGACAGGTGAGTTGGAATGAAGATGATATCTGGGGGAATCAGATGATCAGAAATTATGCATGTATACTTTAATTGTTGCAACTATACAATATTATATTTAAAACTAAGAAACACATTCCCAATGTCTTCTTGTAGAGAGTAATGGTGTACCAGGATTTGAAAGTCCCACTAACACCACTAAGTAGAAATCAGCAGACATTGTTTCAGTATTTCATGGAGATAACTGAAGAGATTTCCATAAATCATTCCTTTTCTTTTTTTCATATTCAGGATTCTGTAATCAAAATTATTATGTGTTATTGAATAAGTGGTAGAAGAACAATCAGTAATCCATATGATCATGTTTTTACAAAGCATTGCTTTAAAATTAAAATATAAACAAGGATAAATACTGCTTTGTTCATTAGAATTCACTATTGTTTCATTTTATTTGGTCAGTCTTTTTATCTTAATAAATGTTCACAAAGTTTCTGCCCAGGTAAAATACTCAATTTTACAGTAGACTAATCATCGATCTAGTTCAGTATGAAATATCTTCATCTATCATTAAAAAACATACCCATAAAGATGAACTTCCTCAAAATATATTGAGCACCAAAATAAAGGATATGAATTAAACTATTTAAGGATATTAAATTAAACTAATAAGCATATTTATTTCAATTTTTAAAAGTGGCTTACTTGATTAATGGAATATTCTAAATAACCTATTCATAACCTGGTTTAGATTTTTTGGGGGGAAAATAAAGAAATAACTGGATTCCATCTTTCATTAAGGCAGAAAAGGTGTCTTATTTTCTTCAATTTCTTAAAGGTGGAACCAGCTGGATCTAGCTATTGTTCTGCTCTCAGTCATGGGAATTACTCTGGAAGAGATTGAAATCAATGCTGCCCTTCCAATCAATCCCACCATTATCCGCATCATGAGAGTGCTTCGTATTGCCCGAGGTAAGAGGAATAAGAATAACCTGACTTATAGCTATGTTTTGGGGAACAATCCATCAGCAGAAGGATAGCACTGAGATCCTGATGTTTATGTCATTAGTTAGTATCTGCCTGGCTGATTTGATCTGGCAGGGCTAGTGTACACAAGTTCCATCAATTAAACAATACCATTTTTTTGGACCCCAGAAGTTTGCCTTCTCTGTAACAGTGCCTATCCTCTGAAATGAGGTTTTGCTGAACTTCAAATGGCCTCCACCCTACTGGTATTTCAAAGGGCCCTGAAGATATGGCTCTTTACCCAGGCCTTTGATGAGGATCACTGATACCCATTTTCTTTCTTTTCCTGCTCCTATCTGGGTTTGGTTTTTTTTTTATCTGAACTCTTTCTCTCTTTTTGCTCTGTGTTGCTTTGTTTCTTGCTTTTAAATGTTTTTAACAATTTCTAAAGTGCACAGAGTTGTTGGCTGTTATTTCCTGTATATAAACAAAAATTGTGCAGACACAGCCATCCAGCTTGATTATATAATGTGGTTGGATTCATACTTCTTAATCTGATAAAATGGGTTGAATTGCTGAATAAATAAATCATGTTAGGGCTTAACACAATGGCATTGTTCAACAATATACTGAGGAAATGCCATAAATTACCATAACTAGATCAAGAGGCTCTTCAGTCACTCATGTCTTAGTCACCTCACAGCTTGACTATTGCAATGCACTCTGTTGTGACTTAAGACCACTTAGAAATTTATACTGGTCATGAATGCAGCGGTACAGGCAGTGATGGACTTGCCTTGATATGCTTGTGTGTCAATTCTGCTCTGCAAGCTGTCCTGGTTGCTGATCTGCTTCAATTTATGTTGCTGGTTATAGACCTATAAAGCCTTACATGGCCTAGGGACTAGCTGTTTGAGGAACTGTCTATCTCAGTGGTGGGATTCAGCCAGTTCGGCAGAACCAGTAGCTAATTTTTTGTTGCCCAGGTCCAGAATGGACTTCTGGAAGTGGCATCCACACAGAGAACCAGTTGTTCACATATTTGAATCCCACCATTGGTCTATCTCCCATGATATCTGGATAGCCAATATGAACTGATAGGGTTTGTGCTTCAGGTCACTTCAACAACATCATCTTTTGGGAGCCAGGAAGTGTGGCTTCTCTGTCATGGCTTCTGCCATCTGGATTGAAATTCCCCTACAATTCGGCTGACTCCCACCCTAATAGCATTCCAGGGAGATCTGCCTCTTTTCCCAAGCCTTGGATTAAGATGGCTGGAGTCCCTTGTGAGTCTTGTTGTTGACTGGATTTGCCATCTTGTGTTTTATCTGATTTTATTTTCTTTGTTACATTGTGACCCAGCCAGGGTTGTTTGGAATTGGGTGACATCTAAATTGAATAAATTCAGTTCTATTCAACCTCATTTTTGTATTGTATTTTATTTTATTGTATTGAATTGTATTGTATTGTATTTTGAGCAATAGTTTACATAAAGAGGAAAAGAGCTAAACAAATAATTATTTATTTATGTATTTATTCAGTTTTTATAGCTGTCATCTTAGTCAATGACTCTGGGTTGCTTACAATTCAAAAAATATATTACAATAAAGACATTAAAACATTTTAAAACAATAAAAAACATCTGCAATAAATATACATATCAGCCGAGATACTTAGCTAGTTAACAGCCAGAAAGTGGGGCTCTTGGCATATTCTGCACCCATTTAGTTCCTTATCCATGACTCCCTACATAGACTGAGTACAATTTCTAATTACCACTAGTTAGAATCTGAAGCAAAAAGGTAATTTTAGATTCAAATTTTTGTTAGCTCTAACATAATGCTGTACGTTTCAAATTGACCACAGATATTTATATATATTCATGTCTACATTCAGTAGAGGATATCCCAACAACAGAATTAATCTTTGATCTGCTGCTCCAGAGAAAAACAAAACAGTATTTGTTTCCCCAGCAATAAGTTACCGCTTGCCTTGCTTTCTCTTGATAGTTTTGAAACTTTTGAAGATGGCAACTGGGATGAGAGCTTTATTGGACACTGTAGTACAAGCTCTGCCACAGGTAAGAAAAGCTGTTTTTAAGTATAATGCTACATAAATTCTAAAGTTGAAGAATATAAAATACTTAGATCAGAAATTTCTAAGGCTATCCTATGTGAGAGCAGAAGTGGGAAAGAATTTTGTGTACTACATATTACTAAATGAACTGAGTTAATTTGCAGCTATTGGACTAATAAATGGATTAAAATAACCTGTGTTGCATCTCTCGTGCAACCCCTCACACCCTCCCCAGTTTTACCACATCCGTTGCACATCCTATCTGTGCTGTATCTGTCACACATCCCCTGCATCTCTCCAACTGGCACTACACCTCTCAGACATCCCCTCACTCCTTCAAACACCCTCCCTTACCCCCACCTTACCTGTCACGTACCCACTTGCTCCCTCCTCAGCTTCCATTGTGCCTGTTGTGCACCATCTCATTCCTTCCCCCACCCAGCAGCAGCCACTTATCTGCGTGCCAGTCAGGGACTTGCAACTTCCTTCCAGCTTCCCTCTGACTTTGGTTAAGCAATCCAATCACACTTTATGATCTCCTCACTTAGTGACAGAAATTCCAGGCCCAGTTGCTGTCATAGGTCAAGGACTACCTTTAATAGCTTATAAAGCTCTGCCTTACTCTAGTACAAAACCACTTGAAGCAGAGGCCTTTCAACTAGAAACAGATACTTTAAAATCTTATGTAAGTAGTAATGCAGCTGATCCAGCATGCCCGCTACAGGAAGTCCTTGCTTAACATCTGCTTCATTTAGCAATGGTTCAGTTATCATGGTAATAAAAAGTAACTTTACGATATATCCTCACATTTACTACCTCCGCAGGTTTATAAAGCAAAAGAAATCTGAAGTAGGATCATAAGCATTGTTACACTTTCACTTAGCAACCACTTAATTTAATAATCAAATTGCTAGTCCCAGTTGTCACTAAACAAGGACTACCTGCATGGTGATTCAACTAAGCAAATATGCATTAGTTCCAGTCTCTTTCATTCTACAGTTCAGGATAAGAAACTCTATTTAAGTAATTAGCACTTATTCCCTAGATTCTTTGATCTACTTAGGCCTCATTGAACAATGTTTTTACAGCATTAAGTAATTCTGCTGCTATTTTCCTTATTTTGTTTCTCTTTTTCTCTCTTGGGTTGGATGTTGTTTTCATTAAGAGTCCATTGATTTTGTTCTCAAAGTAAATCCTAAAAAAATAAATGATACCTCTTAGTTTTGTGTCATATATTTAAAATTCTCAGAATTTGATTGATTTTTATGATCACCTGCCAGGGAACAGGGGAAAGTTGCTGAGGTCATCATTTTCTCCCTAGAAGCTTTGCCAGTGCTTGCATCCACTATATGCATTTCAATCTACTCAGATAATGAAGTTTAATTCTTCTACCAGATGAGGCAAACTACTAATATTAACTAATGCTGTATTTAAAAAAAAACAGTTTGGTATAGTGGGGATGGCACCAAGCTACAAATTGGGAGACCATGAGTTCTAGTCCTGCCTTAGGCATAAATCCAGCTAGGTCAGGGGTAGGCAACCTCGGCTCTTTTATGACTCATGGACTTCAACTCCCAGAATTCCTGAGTCAGCATAGCTGACTCAGGAATTCTGGGAGTTGAAGTCCATGAGTCATAAAAGAGCCGAGGTTGCCTACCCCTGAGCTAGGTGAACTTTGGCCATCACTTTCTTTCAGCCCTAAGAAAGAGACAATGGCAAACCACTACAAAATCTCTCCCAAAAAATTGCAGGAACTTTCCAGGCAATTGCCAAAGTCAACACTAATTTAAAGGAACCAGAAAAATGCTGCATTTACCTAAAAGAAAGAGAACCTTGAATTTAAGACGATCCTTTTAAAAGAAAAAGTACATATAAAAAGTTTATAAATACAGACAGAAATTCTGAGCAGCATTTGTTTCCTTCACTTTGTCAATCAAGAGTGCTATCTCCAGCTAAAATCAGTTTTAGAGATTCCTTCTCCTCATAAACAAGCACAGGTATAACTGGTTAAGTAAGGAAAGAAAAGAGAAACCAGCCATTTTTAAGGGTTAAAAAATGGTAACATTTACCAAATAAGCAACTGCTCTCAAGCAGTGGTGATGTTTTATTTATTCTTGTCCCAAAGAAAAGAGTTTGTTAGTGAACTTGTCAGATAATGTATCTCTCTGTGCATGAGAGAAAAATAGGACCTTTACTTAACATAAAGTCCTTGTATGATCTTACTTCTTATCTTCAATACAATGCCATACAATGTATTATGCTTCTCTAGTCAGGCACATTTGGGATGTGTTGGGACTCTCTCCCAAAGAGCAGAAATTCTGGCCCATCTGAATGGCACCAAGTAGGTGAAACCTGGTCAATACAGGGCACTAGATCTGGCCTATGAGCATCTAAATGGTCACCGAGTCACTCTTTTTTCATGATGAAAACAGGGACTGCAACACAATTTACAAGTGAGAGAATTGTGTTACAATTTTCTCTAATTCTGAATTGTGAATGTTTAAAAAGAATTATGTTTGATGGAGTAATCATCAAATTACTACCTTCATTTTACACAAGAAACAGTAGTAAGAAATAGTTGCCCACCATCATTTTAAAAATCGTCCTTGAATGATATCAAACTATAAAAGTACATTTCCCAAATGTCTCTGTGAATCACTTCATAGACATGTTGGCTACCTATGACCACACTGCTCACATTACACAATGTTTATTCCACTGTAATGCTGTTAATCATTTCACATAGCAGACAATATATATGTAGCCTAGTTTCCCAAATTTAATGTGTTCGAGATGTTATGGGATTACAAGTCCCCAAATTTTCACTGGCCATGATTGTTGAAATATTGGGAGTTATAGTTCTACTACTAGATCATGAGAGTATCAAGTTGGAAAAGACTATCTGTCCCTTTTTTCCAGGAAGACTTTTAAAAGTGATTTCAATATTATTAAGGGCTGTGGGAGTAGAAATGTGTGATTGCTTTTTTATTGTATGCTATCCAGAGTTGTTGTAGAATTGGATGACCTTGCAAATTTCTAAAAGGGAGGAAAGGACATTGTTCTGAGTAATGTATAAATTTGCATTGCCAAAGAACTGCTATTAGACATAGCAACAGAGTCTCCAAAATCTTTGTGTTGTCTTAAAAACAACTATAGAGCTGGTTTGCAACCATTGTGTTGAAGCCAGGGATTAACTCTTTTCTCCCTTGCTATTCTCCTGCTAAAAAGCATTCACACACCACACACTACACAGCCGCTATTAGCTATGGACTAGATGATCATTAGAAGGTGTGCAGTTACCTATAACTATTATACCTGGATATTTAGAATATGTAGAACCAGTGGCTAATATTGTAGCAGAAAGTGTAGAGAGGGTAGATACCATTTCTGTTGGGGAAATAAAGGAAGGAGACATAGAAAGGCTTAAATCCCTTTTTCTCCAGGACTGCAATTTCAATTCAGATTGTTTCCAACCTTCTTATATAGCATACCATGTTTGTTTTGATTGTCAACTACTAATACTATTTGTATTTATTCTTACTTTATAAACAGAAAAATTCAATTAGCATTTTATATAATGTTATGAATATTATGCATATTAGGTATGCCACTGAAAATAAATCTACAACAGAGCTTAGATTGCTAAATCATGATATAATTTCACTATGTATCTTACTTTCTTTTTTTAAGCAGCAACCACTTGTTTTATACTTCCCAGAATTCTTAGGCAAGATATTTTACTCTTTAGGCTAGTGATATTAGTGCATTGATTATACTTTACATTATTCTATTTTTAGTATTTTATGAATCCAGAAAAATGTAATTTAAATCTTACTAAAAAATTAACTTAATAAAAATACAAAACTACTACAACAGGACCAACATCAAACAGTCAGAGCATCAGAGCAATTATCACAAGGATGGAATCTCAGAGATCATAAAATGCTCTGATTCCACTTCCTGGGAATAAATACAGCATTTATAACCCTTGACTTCCCATTCCTGGGCTCCAGGGAAATCCTCAAGGCTAGGTTTTTCTGACACTGGATAAAAACCATTGTAAAAACTCTTGTTAAATTATCAGCATGTGAAAATTGTGTTTTCTAATGCATGAATCAGCAATTGCTCCAAGAACTCTAAAAAGCACAGTGCCTTACTTCTTTCTAAAACATTTAATAAAATTACATTATAGGCGCTGCAAAGATGAAGCCATAGTTAAGGCTGTGCTATGAGCTTTACTCAAGGCAGCAAAAAAAAAATGTTCTACATTTAAGTGATTAGACTGAATTTTCCAGTTTTGTATATTGACTCTGCAGGGAACAGCCAAATTATCCATAACATTATGCTTCCCTGCAATTTAGAACAAAGCATTTCAAAATTAAATCTCTCTTCCCATCTATCCTCTAACTCCTTTGGTTTATGTCTGTTTGGAGCATGTTCCCATGTGAAAGTGTGTAACCACATGATCTTCAGTTTGTCAACCACAATACCTAGCAGACAGGTACATGTGATGGACTTCTGAAAACTGCATGTTATTCATTTTGGGAAACTGTTTTATAAGAAGCTACTAAGGAAGTCCACCTTTCAAAATAATAATATATTATCAACACATGAAGAGTTCATTTAGCTGTTTATTGCTCGAGCCTATACACAGAAATCTTCTCAGACTGACAGTTTGCATCTGGATAAAACTAGATAAGGTTCAACGGCATTTGGGAGGGATCAGACTTCATCCTCTTGTGCCCATATAGGGATTCCAGACTAATTCCCTGTTTGACTCCTCCTCCTGGCTCATCCAATCTCTCTCCAACATCGATGGGGATAGATCAAAAATTAAATTTGATTTAATTTCATATGAATTTTCATTTACTTATTTTTTCCTTATCACACTAAAACTTAAAATTTGGTAACAACTTTTGATGGACTTTCACCCAAACCTTTTGAGCTGTGTGCACCTCTGGAACCGCTTGTTGTATGTCAAACACAACTTTCAGTGTTGTGTTAAGGTTTTTTTCCAACTTCTTTTAAGCATGATTTGAATTATCTAATTTTATTGTCTGATCCTGATGAACATTTGAACTGCCAATTGTGCTAATTCATGTGTTCAGTCTCTTTTTCTTTTTTTCAACATAGAGTCTTTTCTTGTGGATCCTATGATATATTTGACATTAATTTGATTTACTTACAGGTTGGGAATCTTGGACTCCTCTTCATGCTCCTTTTTTTCATTTATGCTGCTCTAGGAGTAGAGCTTTTTGGCAAACTTGGTAAGTTTTCCAGCATAAAGGTGTGTCATAGAGAAAAACTGGAATTGCTAACACCAATTACATCACACACACTGACACAAAGAGGGAGGAATTACCAAAATTATATGCTAATTTAGAAATAATTCCTATGATTTAAATAGAAATCTAATGCACCTTGAGGGCAGTAATTAGATTACTTACATACATGCATGCCTGCTTGTTCTGCTATCTGGGTGACTATTTGTGGGTAATGTCAAGGGCTCTGCTCTCCTGTCTTGTATATTTTTAAACTGAATTCCAGATGGACAGTCATCCATATCAAACAATCTTCAAATAAAGGATTACCCTTTGTAATTTACAGTTCATGGCTGCCATAAATGGAAAACTCCAATAATATGTTTCACTTTAGCTGAATGATCTGAGTTTATTTCTGATTGTTTTCATCTTATTAAGAAATCTAGCATGACAGGAATTCCTCATGCTTATTGCAGACAATTAGTCTATGCATTTCCATTAATATTGTGCAAGATAGATCATTATTTAATGTCTGCAGGCAATTCGTGTTTTTCTTTCAACTTCTTCAGAGATAGATAATTTTGTTGTCTTAATCTTCAAGGCATGTCTAATATTGAAAAAGAATAGAATTTCTTTTGCCAGTTTTTTTCATCTGTATTTTTTCTTTATAACATCTACTTTCTTCATGTTTTTGTTTTGTCACGTGGTTACAAAGCACTTGTAACATGGGAGATTATTAAGAAGAATTAATTTAAGAAAAATTCATCTCTTTGTCCTTCAAGAGTAGTTTATTTTATTTATTTATTTTTTAATTTTTTTACAGTAATTGAAGTAAACATGTGTATAAGAAACTAAGTACCACTTTGGACTTGGTTGCCTCATTATTTCTCTCTTTCTGTTGAGCTGCTTCTGTCTCCACTCCACTCAACCACATTTTGGCTTGTGCACTGAGAAAGCAGCAACAGAAATAGTTATTTGTTCATCTCTTTGAGTCCTCCAGATCCAGGAGTTACAACATTTCCATATTTGTTCTGAATGGGGTGGCATTACCCCATTCAGACTTGGTGTGCAATCTGGGAGCTCCTGCTTGATGAGCAGGTGGCAACTGTGTCCAGGGCTGCATTTATACAACTGCACCTTATCTGTCATTTGCACTCATTCTTGGACCAGGTGGCCCTACTCATGGTCACTCACACCTTGATCACCTCCCAATTGGTCTATTGCAACACATTCCAAATGGGACTGCTCTTGAAAATCATCTGGAAGCTTCAGTGGGCCCAGAATATAGCAATGCAGGGAGTTATGGACACATCTCATTATGCCAATGTAGACCACTACTCTACAAGCCTAACTGGTTTCTAATAGGCTTCTGGATATGCTTCAAGATGCAGGTTATCACTTTAATACCCTACATGGTATAGGACCAGGTTGAGGACCTCCTTCTCCCAAGAATATCTGTCCACCCCACATTCTCCACAGGGAGGACTTGCTTCAGGTTCCATCTTTTAGATCTTGTCATCTTATGGGATCTAGAAGGCATATCTTTTCTTTAGTTGCTCCTGTTCTTTGGAACAATTTCTCTCCCCCCTCTGTGACATACAACAGGTTCCAGTTTTCCTAACCTTTAGAAAGCTATTAAGATCTTCTGCTAGGCATTTGGAGCCAATTGAGAGTCCCCCCCTTTTGATTATTCTGTTATGTGTTGGTTTTATTTATATGTTATATTGGGTTATTGTTATATGGTGGGTTTTTCCTTTATTGTTTTTATGCTGGACACTGCCCAAAGTCACATTGTTTGACAGCCTTATAAATCTTGAAATAAATTAGAATTTGAATGGAAGTTCAGTCACTTGTTTTGGTCACTCTTCCTAGTGTTAACAATGTGTTTGTTGATTGCACATATGCATTAATAGTTTATTAATTTCAAGGAAACCTATTTTTAATAAGTGGAATCTAAAAACAACAGAGAAATAAATTTTGGAGAAAGAGAGGGATATTGCAAGGCAGATATGTGGAAAATAAGACACATTATTATTTGAAGTCAGCTTGGTGTACATTATAGAATGCATTAGGAAGGAATTGGTGCATTTTGCAAAAATGTAAGGGTATCTTCTCATCCTGGTTCTTTTAGAGGTAATCATATGTTGATTAGGCCATTCTTCTATCTAGGTTTGCATATAAAGATGGGATTAAAATTTATAAACTGCCTTTTCAAACTTATATTTCCATGTTTAAATCCCTTCTTTCCAGTCTGCAATGATGAAAACCCATGTGAAGGAATGAGCCGCCATGCCACCTTTGAGAATTTTGGAATGGCCTTCCTCACACTTTTCCAGGTCTCCACTGGTGACAACTGGAATGGCATTATGAAGGTAATTGAGACATGTTTTGTGCTCTCATGAATAGTGTCCTGAAATGGAAACAGATCTGCATTTATTAAAATCAGGTAAGACAAGTCAGGATTGAAAGAGAAACTATCCAAACTATGACTACAAATGTCTGGCATTACAAGAAGTGTTAGAATGTTATTGATAATGATAGACAGAACCTGGCATGATGCATCTAGCCCCGTGGTGGAGAACCTATGGCACGCGTGCCACAGGTGGCACGCAGAGCCCTCTCTGTGGGCACGCGAGCCGTCGTCCCAGTCCTAGGCCTTCCACTGAGTTTTATAAAACCTTTTTGCTTTAGGCCTCTGCCACCGTGTGGGGAAAAAAAAGGTTCAATCAATCAATCAATTTCAACTTCTCGCGGGAAAAAAAAAGTTCTCGCAAAGTTGGAATTGATTGATTGAACTTTTTAGTCCCACCCAGTCTGCCGTTACCACCGCAGACACCCCCACCCAATGGGCCACGCCCACCCGGCACCCAACGATACATAAGTGGGTTTTGGGTTGCAGTTTAGGCACTCAGTCTCTAAAAGGTTCGCCATCACTAATCTAGCCCATCATTTGGGGGGATGCTATGAATTTTTTGCAATATTTTTAGAGTTTGTACAGAGTGTGAATTCCTGAAGAGGCATGAGGGAAGGGAAGGGATAGCATAGGGCTAAGACACCACATAAACAGTTATTCTTGAAGCATCATATAAGAGCTGTGGCAATACAAATCTTTTTATGGCTGCATTAAAGTTAAAGAATATTGAGCCTGGCAAATCATTTGAGGAGATGCACAGCAGACAAAGTGCCTCTGTGAATCTGTTCCTCAAGGCCATAAAACAGTCTCAGCTGCTTTTAGATTTGGAGCAGTTGCTTGGAGCCCCTAGAGAACTCCTGGGCATCCATGTGCTTCCTCAAAAGACATTTCCACTGGGATAGCTACCGTGAACAATCTCGTTAAATAATGTTTAAAATATCACATTTTGGTAGCAAATGGATTTTGAGTACTGTACTAATACAAAATTAGACCAACTCTTCGAACAAAATATTGTGATTTGGCTAAGACAACCCTCATAAATTCTGTGTTTCATACAGTGGTGGGATTCAAATATGTGAACAACCGGTTCTCTGTGAAGAGAAGCTTCCAGAAGTCCATTCTGGGCCTAGGCAACAAAAAATTAGCTACTAGTTTTGCAGAACTGGTGCAAACTGGCTGAATCCCACCATTGGTTTCATACAGATACTCACTCATATTATTTTGCTCAATAGGATCACTGTCCCATATCTGTCCTAATTTGGACCAATGTAGGAGAATCTTAAATGCACATAAGTGGGCTCTTCAAAGTGACAAGTTGGTGTAGTTTTTAGTCACTAAAATATTCACATTTCATGTTAAATATTGAGTGCTATAAAATATATATCTCAAAGTGCAAAATACTCTGTCTCAATAGAATATTGGGACGTGGGACAGGGATAAATATGTCATTGCTGCATTAGTTTCTATTCATGTGTGCTAAGATAAAAAGGGATATCATTTTGTAGTTAATTGGGACTTACTGATATGACAGATTTCTTGTGGATCCAGAAAGTGATAAATTAATGAAGTAGAGGTTGGAGTGAGAAAATTATGTGTCCCGAAATATCATACATTAGGAGTCTTGAGTCTTGTTTAAATATTTTGTTTGAGAAAGCAGCTTCATTTTTTAAAAATAATGTCTTCCTTTTCTCTGTGTTTTGTGCTCGTGTATGTGTGTTGTATGGGGAGTTGTTTGGTTTTCTTTCTTTTTGTTTTTCACTTTTTTGGCCTAACTTAATTCCTCAAGGATACACTACGTGACTGCACTCATGATGACCGGAGCTGCCTGAGCAACCTTCAGTTCATCTCTCCACTCTACTTTGTTAGCTTCGTGCTCACAGCCCAATTTGTCCTCATCAATGTTGTAGTAGCTGTCCTTATGAAGCACCTAGATGACAGCAACAAGGAAGCACAGGAGGATGCAGAAATGGATGCTGAGATTGAGCTTGAGATGGCACATGGATTGTGCCCTCATAGCACTAGCTCACTGAATCCTGGACAAGATGGAGGAGGTGGGAAAAAGGACTCTGAAGGACATCTATGCATGACATGTTACTCTCCAGCACAGGTAGGCGGAGCATTTTTCCTTGCTGCTAACAAGTTTTTGGCACATTAATTTGGGAGAACAAAGATAGCTTAGAAGAGTGTAGAGAGTTATGATAGAAAAAAAAATTTAAACATCCTGTGACTGGCAGATTCAGTTCTAGGCTAGGAGGTCAAATTTTCATAAAGTCAGAAATTAGAACACCAATTAGTGCTGAATAGAATAAAATCTGGATTTTATAAGAAGTTGAAAAATAAAATTTAAAAAGATACCATGAGGCAGGCCTAAGGTACAATAGTGGAAATACAGCAAAATTATTTTACAAGGTAACTGGAGGAACACCTGTGAAGGTTCTATAGCAAGTTTCAGTGGTGCTTCTCTGCCCAATATCCATCTGAGCCCCTTCATTTTACATCCTTGTATAGGGCCATATTCTGCCTCATTTACTCATATTCTGTAGGACGGTACACTCAGATGTGACAATTTGCTACAGAATTAACCAGTATGAGTGAAAGTGGCAGAAGATAGCTACATTATGCAAAAGAACACTAAAACAAGCAAAAACATGGAGCTCTTAAAATAATGTCTCCCATCCTCCCCCCTTTCTTGTCCCCTAGGAGAACTTATGGCTGGACAGTGTGTCTTTAATAATTAAAGACTCCTTCGACGGGGAGTTAATGATCATCGATAACCTATCGGGCTCCGTCTTCCATCATTACTCCTCGCCGGCCATGTGCGAGAAGTGTAACCATGACAAGCAAGAGGTAACCTGCGTGCGAGGATACGGGAGGGGACATCCCATGCTTTTCAGGACACACACATGCACACTAAGCACAAGGTCTTCTTGGGATTGTCTCCTGGTTATAGATAATTTTGATATACATTTTGCCATTAACATGCTTTCCTGAAGGCATCTAGTTCAAAGGAGGAAAAGCATATTTGTGTTAGCCGAAGGCTGAGTGGAAAGACAGCTAGATTGACAAGGATAGCGTTCATCATTATGAAAGATGAGATACAGCATTAGCTCTATAGATAATACAGTATTCTGTTTTGTATATTGTAGACTGATTTGTAAAAGGAACACAGTGCATTGTTTCATGGTTTTCAAGGATCGCAGAGTACTTTTAAATGACATGCTTAGTTTTAAGTGGAACTCTGTTTTCTGGTATCTAAGAAGTACTCTAAAACAGTAGAGTTTAAGGTAAAATCACTTTAAGTTTTTAAAATGCTGGCTACCATTTTATTTTGTCTTAGTTTTGAACCTTTGGGTCCTCTTTTTAATTACATTGCCAGTGGAAGGTGCAGTAAATGGAAGTAAAGAGATTTCTTACTGAGTGATGGTTGTGAGGAATTACAGCTTAGATAGTCTGAATCAAACATTTTTGCACATCTTAGCTAATAGAATCATTCATTAACAATTCTTTGCAATTATTATGAATGTTTTAGTTGCATAGATTTCAGAGAGCAGAGAGGTCCAGTTGAATGTTCACAAGTCAAGAATCTCATTAATAGATACTTGGCTAATAGCAAAGCTAGGGAATTTTATATCTTGGTCTAAATATCATAGAGGCTGGCAATATCTTAGATTATCATGTTTATTCAATTGTAAGTATACAATTCACAGTTTTCCCCCATCTCCCACTACAATTCCTTCCTTTACGACTTCACAATGCTAAGTGAGCAGAGCACTGCACTCAGTGCATTAAGAAAGCCACTTCCTTTGAAAGACTTTCATGGCTGCCTCAGTGATTTGCATGCATAGATGACACTTCCATTGGAATCACCAGCAAAGTGGCTGTGCATACACAAGTACAGACAGCAGCTGGAATGACCTTCAAAATTACCATCCAAGCAGTGGTGGGATTCAAATATGTGAACAACTGGTTCTCTGTGTGGATGCCACTTCTGGAAGTCCATTCTGGGCCTGGGCAACAAAATATTAGCTGTTTCTGCCGGTGCGAACCGGCTGAATCCCACCACTGCATCCACGTCTTCCAAATGCATTCAGAACCTCAGCCCTTCCCGAAGTATCAGTGCACTGAACCTCTTTCATTAACTTATATAGCCCAAGTATTATTTAAATTACTATACTGTCAAAAAAAAAGTTTGCCAAGATAAAAAGTATTTAATTCAAGAAACTCTTTGTGCCAGCAATATATCTGTCCAATGCATTGCGTCTCATCGGCCTACTTTTATAGCTTACCTGCCATGATACTGGAAAGATAAGGGTAAAGGTAAAGAGGCCCTTGTAGATTTTATTCTGCTAGTCATTGCCGACTATAAGGGGCAGTACTCATCTCCATTTCAAGACCATTGAGCCAGCACTGTCCAAAGACATTTCCATGGTCATGTGGCCAGCATGACATCACAGAGCACTGTTACCTTCCCGTCACAGAGCACTGTAACCTTCCTATTTATCCACTCACATTTGAATGCTTTCAAACTGCTAAGTTGACAGGAGCTGTAGCTAGGACAGGAGCTCATCACATCACATGTGTTGAACCTGGGCTGTCAGCTTTCCAGCTGATAAGCCCGCAACTTAACCGCTGAACTACCTCATCGCTCTCATGATTACTGGAAAAAAGATATAAAATTATTCCTTAGGATCCAACTCATCCTTGTGATTGGAAGAATGTGAGACTCTAGCCCACATTCCATCAATGCCCTTTTTGTAACAATTTGCATCTTATCATGTAAGAAACGTATAAGAAATCTTTCTTAAATATGCAAAATGCATTATAAAGTACTCATACACAATGCATTTATAAATTGTAAATGTGAATGAAGTGCTTCTGTATGGGGCTGGATTCCTGGCAACTGCATGGCTGTTTTTAGCTTATCTACCTTGTAGTTCTTTCAGGAATATTTCTGTAAAGTCTTTGATCCTGTTCTTCCATCTTTTCCATTGTCTTCCCTTGTCTACTTGACAAATACAGTTATTTCTAGATCATCATCCAGTCCTATCACATCCAAGTGATCTGAATATTACCTCAAGGGAATAGTCAGTCTTCATTAGATTAAGGATGGATTGAAACCCTCAGTTACTCTCCAGATCTACTGTTCAAAAGCATCTGTTTTGTTTCTCCTATTCTGTCTGGGTAACCCAATTTCAAAACTATACATTGCTGCTGGAAAGCTAATTGACTTAATTATTCTGCTCTTATAATGTATTCTGATCATATAAGTATACTTAGCTTTCATGAACTTGTCTAAATGTATCACTGTATTCTTCCTTTGAATTAAACTCCTTAATTCTTTAGCACACTGTCCATCTTTACTTTTAATAAACACATATCCATGCATAATCTACACGAGGCCTTGCTATAGTCAATAAATCAAAGGTAAGACTTCCTCTCGTTCACCCCATTATCCATCTTATATTAAGATCTCTTGCCTTTCTGCCTTGCCTGAAACCTGCCTATTCATTTAACATTTTGCTCTCCATGTTTGGTTCTGTTTATAAGAACATAAGTAGATATTGCTTACATAAGGAATTAGTGCATTAAGTAATTTACACATCCTCTTACATCATTCTTCTTTCAAATCAGTATACACACAGATCTAGGCCTCACAGGCTTATTGTATATTTGTGGATGTAGCACTTAGCACTTCTCTCTTCACCTTTTGTAATTTACTTTCCAGCAGAGTCAATTTTGGAATATATCATCTCTCCACAAATTTTCTCTCCTATTATGCCTTTTTAGAAAATATTTCAATATGTATCTGTCAATCTTCCTTTAACCTTATTTGTCTCCATTAGTTCCAGGATTAATCTTGAGTAGTCCTACATAAACTGTACATTTTCCTATGGTTACATTGGTCTTCTTAAAAATATCTCCTAATTATCATTTTCTTACCATTTCCTTTCTATGTTGACATTCTTGAGTCCCTGTCATTTCTTACTTGACTCTGTATTTGGTTGTTGTACATCCTTCGTGTTTACAGAAGCCATCCTTTCTTCTTTGTTTCCTTTGTTTTACTTTCAAGAGTTTTTGTTGCTTGTTATTGTTGTATTGTTACTTGCTATAATAATCACTTGTATGGAAAGCTGGGTGACTTTTTTTTCCTACTAGAGGTCCTTGGTGCTCTCTGAGTTTGATTGTTTTCTTGCAGATGTTACATTACCCAAACTAATATTTTTCCTATTAAATGTTCATGTGTCTTTTATGTCTTTTAGTACATTCTCTGTTTTCTTTGACTTAAGTTAGTCATATTAAATCTGTCTTCACATTGGTCTTATATTTTGACTCTTACTGGTACACCTAGTCTTTTTTAATTTTGCAAATTTAACCCCTATATTGTTAAATCTTTTCAAGATATGTTCCATAGATTGTACCTGGAAGTATTCTGACTGACTGGATTTCATTTCCCTCTCTTCTGTTTCTTATTACTGCTTTGATGTGATTTAACCATAAAAGAGAGTCTGTGAAGCCGGAGTTAGTAGTAAACAAGTTCTCTTCCCGAACTTGATTTAGCTATCTCTTTCATTATTGTGTTTATGCAGTCCAAACTTTCCTGTAAATTCAGATTTCTTTGTTTCTCCAACTTTTTCATTCCATCATCAATTAGTAATACTGGGTCATCTTTTGATGTTGGATTTAGTGCTGCTTACAATTTGGTACAGAATCCCTCAATACGTTTCACCATTGCATGTGTGGCAGGTGCATACATTTGTGTAACATTGATGTTCACTGCATATCCACTAGTTCTAACAGATATTATCCTGTCACATACTGTAGCAAACCCACTTGCTGCTCCATTTTAAGTACAGTCTCATGCCCTGAATAGAAATAATCATTTAATTTGATTCACCAAAATTCAACTATTCCTAAAATATCCTGCTTAGTACACTTTATTTCCACTTCAATAATTTCACTTTTATTGTATTCATGCATCTCACATTACAGGTTCTAATGATGAGTCCTTCTAAACAAGAAATCCATCTTCAATAACTAAGACCAATGTCCTTTTGGATCTGGTCCATCCATGTTCATCATACACAGTGAAAGTTTGACATTCTTCCCCAATAACTGGAAGAGTGCCTTCTGATATGCGAGTTTTATCATCTGTCACTCAAGCCTATCTAAATATTTTATGTATATCCATGTAGATTTCTTGGTAACAATATAGCTTTACTGTTACATTGTTCTGGTTTCATTTTGGAGTACCTTCTTTTAAATGGGTTAGACTCCCTCACATCTGTAAAGCCCACAAGCAAAATAATTCATTCCCTGCAGTGCGTAGTTTTCAATCAATTTTCCATAGGCATTGTCAAACAATAAGTAGGATAATATAATGATTGTAAACCATTTATATGGGATAGTGATCAAGGATATATTTAACTATGGTGGTCATCCATGCAACCCTTGTTGAAATAACTCAGATTATCTCATTACAATGGGATTTGTTAAGTAATTTATGTCCAAGCAGTGAGTATTTCAATTTTTTGATTTGCTGGAACAATAGCAGGTTTAATTGATAAATTTATTTTTTTTTAAAAAAAAAAATCCTCTTTATGTTATTTAACATTTCTCATATGATTTGGCCCAGTAATATATTTTCAGTCAATATTTGTAGTTGCATTGCTAGCTTGTGAGAAGGATTCCGTGGTTATATATCACAAAATATTTGTAATAATTGTAAATCTGAATCTGTATAAGAATTATAGAAAAAATAATCACTCTAAAGTTTAAAAGCTCATAGAGCAAAATCTGCTGATGTCAGCAACTATACAATTCTCTTTCCTTTCTTGTGATATACTTGTGTTAATAATTCAAGAAGAATTAAACCAAAAATTAATCTTGATTTTAAGAACATATTTAAAAACAAGTTAGAACATTTCTAACAAATTTTGCTTTAGAAACTCACTTCTTAATATTAGTTGCTCACAGGTGGTACACAGATCTTGCTTACCAAAATGTTCAGTTTATCCACATACGTTTAAACATAAGTTGAGAAGAAAATAACTTAGTTTAATTCTATTAACTTTTCATCTAAAACAAGATACAGAGGTGAAACAGCTTGACCACAATAGAAACTATGCATTTTGTTCTGCACAAATTAGATTTTTAATATATTTTAACATATTTAAGTATCCTGTATTGTAGGCAGTCTATAGTGTTAAAATATACATACTCTCACTATATAATATTTTATTCTCCTTGGTATTATTCTAATTTTAATACAGTATTGGTGTCAGAAAACTTTTTTAAATAATTTATTTAGACTTCATACTGGAAGTATAATACAAAATGGCTAGTTGTCTTCACATGATCTATTAATATATAATGCAGGCTTGTAGATTTGAGCATGATATTTTCTTTTATAGTTTATAAGGGTGTTCTTTTTGTCCTGGTATTCAATGGAAAAGAAGTTCATGTCTTACAAAGTAATAATGGAACAATTGAGCATGTTTTCATGTGAACTTCAGTTAGGCATGTGATAGTTTACTAAATTAGTTAGAGGTGTCATTCATACAAAGTTTGTGTTTGTATAATATGTACAGATATTGTGGCTGGTAGTTGTGCTGTGTTTTGATGTGATGTGATGCTGGTTTTCTTTTCTTTTTTAAGTGTGTAGATGATTAGTGGTGGCTGTGTTTGGTAAAAACTTCCATATTATGCATCCTTGGACACAATCCAGCACACTAAGAAGTAGGTATAAATCCTGTTGATCTTGAAGGCATTTAAGCTAACATGACTAGGCTCTGGATTGTGTCCACGGTGCTCTAAACAGTAATAATTCAGCAGTTAGCCTCTGTGGAAATAGTGTGGTTTTAGTGCTGTGAAGATTGCCATCATTATATCCTTGTGATAGATTATATCATGATAGTAGATTACCATTTTGGAAATCTACTTCAGCCATATCTTCCATTAATTCCAAATGAACTGTCGTCTGAAGGAGTCCTAATATTTGGCACTGCCATTGATTCTGTTACAGATCCTGTCCAAAGCCATCAGCTCTCCATATCATTTTTTTGCTACTGTTTACACCAGCAAAATATTCTGCACAAATACAGGAAAGCAGAACTTTATTGAAAGACCTCTCAAATTAGTTCATAATAATAGAGATAAAATAATACCAAGAAAGAGCAAATATCAAAATAATTTCAAAAGTTCCTTAGAGACTGCCATTAAGTGAAAAACAATACTTTTAACAATACTTTGGAGAATAGTAATCTGGGTAAAAGGAAAAATAAGAGAGAAGGTAACCCAATAAAATGAAAAGGGGAAAAATATCTTCATCCCTTCATTAAGGGATGACATTTAAAGAAGATGGAGAGATGGTGTTGGGGGATGATTTGTTTTAGGAAGCAAATTAAAACCCAGCAATTTGAGTTAGAGAAGTGAAAATAAGGGATATTATAATATAGAATGTTGTTTAAAAAGAAAAGGAAAACAGAAGTTGAATAATAACAAGGAATAGAATGTTTTTTTCAGTAAGTTGGAAATAAGGAATTTGTATTAATAAATAGTACTAACTAGTAAATTAGTAAATTGGAATTAAGCTCAAGAGGAAAAACGTAAGTGAACAATAATAGTAAAGACATACAGCTACATGATTTTCATATGAATTGCATGATTACTACTGTTGAAATGAAGGCTTCACTATAGCCACAAACTGCCTGTTGATGGAAATAAACTCTGTTATCCAAGGCAAGGCGGTCCTTTTCTCAATGATCCCTAGACTATCCTCTAGGAATTCTTCTCAGAGATTTCTCAGTCTCTTAATGTAGACTCAGTTATACTGAATTTACATTATATATTATGGACTCATTCCTTGATGAGACTGAAAGGCTTTCTATTTTCCTTGCACAGAAGATGAAATGGAGAATTCTTCAGATGACATGGTCCATCATAGATGCACAAAAAGTGTATTTTATTTTTGTTTATCCTCATCTCACCCTAAGAATCTTTCATGATATGTAAAATTGAGTTAAGGTTCTGTAAATGTCAAGTATGACCTTCCTCCTTGTCTCCAATCTCTTTTCTAAAGCGATGTGACTGTTAAGAGTGTTATTTGACAGTTTCTTTCCTGAAACCCATCCACCCTCCTTACTATAGATCCAGCTGGCTGAAATGGAGGCCTTATCACTCAATTCTGATAAGTCTTCTATCCTGCTAGGAGATGATGGAGATATTTCCAACATTGACCAGCCAAGCCCTAAGGAAAAGGTAAATTTTATATTTATATATATATATATTTAAGGACTCCTTCCTTTAAAAGAATCCATTTTTTCAGGGTCAAGGGAGTGGTGGGTGGGTGGGTGGGTGGATGGATGACAAAATTCTATAGGACTTTTTCTTAAATGCTCTGAATTAATTTATTATGCTCTGTATCATGTGTGTGAAACTTGATCACTGGGGCCACACTTTTGGCTTATCTTGTTTTATTGGAGTGAACTGACATTGATGGCTGCATAGAATGGGTCCATTTCACACAAGTGTGCAAAAATTGGAATCTTAAAACTATAAAGTTTTAGAGCTTTCGAGAGAGTATTAAAACTTAATACTTAAGACCATACTAGTAAAGAAAACTGCATTGCCTAAGCTCACATAGAACCATAACAAGGGAGGCATGCTTACCCCTACTTGTTTCATCATATTATTCCTGATACAGATTCCTTCATGAAACATGAAGTCCATATGTGCATATGGAACATTTTCATTTTCCACCAGAACTTTTTCAATAAGGGAAGTCAGTTACTGAAATGTATAAAGCAAATTACCTCAGTCAAGAGCTCCAATAAAGCTTTGATACATATCTAGCATCTTTCCCCATAGCTCAGTTAATAAGCTAGCTGAAAATTAACCTGCATAACATAAAGGTTTGTTCTGACTGCTGATTCCTATCCTCCTCTATAAATTCTGTTTTGGCATGTTAAAAAAGCAATTCATTACATTCTTTGTTGGCATCTCTGTTTTACAATTCTCTTGGGAATCCATCTGCCAATCACAGTCCTGGTAATTCCTGAAGCTCATCAAATAATTGATCTGTGGAGTGACATGGAAGCTCAGTAAAATGGGACAATCTTTCTGGCTTTATTAGGCTATTCTCAGAGCCAAACAATCAGTTGTTTAGCAGGCCATAAGAAGCTACCTATAGAGTTGCCTTCTCTGCCTGCTTCTTCTTCCCAAAAGGGTAAAAAGAAAGTGACAGAGAAGAGTACCAAAAGCCCCAGTAACATACTTGTGCAAGATTGAAGTATTCTATCAAGAGGCTCTGGATAGTCATCTGATTGTACTGCCACAGAATGGCTAAAATGAAAGCAATACCATGGAGAGGGAACAGTACAAAGAATTTAACAGACCACATTCATATCATGGTTAAATGCCCTTAGGGAATGACCAATATTGCTAATGCCTTCTGACAGTGTATCAGATAGATATCTGAGCACATTTTTTTAAATCTTGCAAAGTTTCCTCTAATTTTGTTTTCTTTTTACGAAGCTTCATGAGACAATATCTTTATTTTGACTAGGATGGTGAAGACAGCCCTAATTCTACAAGGAATACAGGCTTGGAAGAATGTCTCTTCCCTTTAACAAATACAGGATCTTCTCTGCCTCCAGAAAACTACCAGTATGAAATGGAAAAAATCTCTTTCAGTCGAGCTCAGTCTTGGCTAAATAATGAGACCAACGAAGGTAGGAAATGCCACACAGTTAAACTAATATGGTACCCAACAGAGATACTTTTTTAAAGAGCTCTTTCATGTTAATGGGATGTATTCAGGTATAGGCATGAAAAATGCAGCAATTCTAAACAACATAGTTATGAAGAAATTGATGTTTTCCAAAGTATTTTTTCACTCACTGATCTAGGAATAGAAAATGGTGGACCTGCAAGGTTATTAAAGCCTTCTGGATAAAATTATGGTGGAATTTACAGCAAGTTTTTAAAAGAAGAATTTTTTTTTTGCCTCAGTTGTTTCTCCTAGGTATTACACATAATCTGGATGTAAAAGAAACGAATTTGATGTTGTATTGTTTAACTGCTACCCGTTTGCTGATAGCTCAAAACTGGAAGAGTAAAGCTTTACCTACAATAGAGGACTGGAGAGTGAAGGTTTCGCATCTTGCTGAAATGGCAAAGATTTNGGCTTATTTGAAGGATCACTCAAATGAACAATTTTTATCAATATGGAGAAGATGGATTGTTTATATTCAAAATAAGCATAGAATGGTGGAATATAGGTTAGGTTTTTAGATAAAAAAATTTCTCTTTTTATACATATATATATATTTCACCTACTTATGTAGAATTACATTTTGTGGAGTTAGGGATATTAATATAAGGTTACTTTTAGATGAATAGTATCCTGGGATTAGGTTTGGGAAGTCCGGGTGGGGGGTGGGGGGGGGGTTTCAATTGTGATGTACTTGTGATGTGTTCTTTTTCTTTATGTTGAAAATAATAAAAAAAAAATTTGAAAAAAAGAAAAGAAAATGGTGCTATATACATATATACATCATTTAACACAATACCTCAGCCTTTTTTCAATTAGGTGTATTCCAAATGTGTCCCATATTTTCATCAGAAACAGTAGCTAGGAGACATATCTGAAAGACATTGAATTGGAAACTCTGCAATATGTTTGATATGTTATCTGTAGTCAAGGAAACTGTATTGTAAAAGACAAGAATTAGCTTCATAATTTTGTAAATTTGGAGCCTCATGTTTTCACTCCCATATGTTCATCTGTGTTTTAAAGGTCCTCTTAACTCAGTGCCTAAACTCACCCTTCTGATCATTCGAGTGTTAATTTGTTTATTTTTCCATAGTTTTTCAAAAATCATGAGAGCAGCCTAGGTAGCTCCTGCCTCTTACAATAACCCTATGAATTATTGTGAGACATAATGACTAGAACAACTTTTAAGCCTCATTAAAAGGTAACTAGAATTACTTTACATTTTAAAACCAAAAAGTGCAATCCTGATGGTATGTAAGAAAAGCCTGAAACATTGCCAAAATCCCTCATGCTGCTCGGCTGGCAAGTGCTAATTTGTCTAATACTAAAGGCCATGCTCAAATTATTAACTGTGTTCTCTTAGGGAAAATTATCCAGGGAACAGGAAACATGTTAGCCAATAGAGCTGGATGCTGCTGGTTATTCCTTGCTAAGATGTGCCAAATAAAAGCAAAATGAATTAGTGCTTCCTAAACTAGCTACCAAAGAAAGAGGCTGGAGTTGTAAGAGAAGGAGCAAGATGATGATTGCAAGTAGTTTGATTTTCTTGGTTTCCCCATTAAACACAACTTAAATTGACTTTGTAGATTTCTGCCCGATAAGAAAAGTGGAAAGTCAGTTTCTTCTTTTTTATGTCTTTCTCCTGATTTTACCAAATCCCCCTTGTTTTCTCCTGTCCAGATGCACCCCATTCTCTATTGCCAGTTCAAACAGAGTTTTTTCTCCCCGTTGTTTCTGCTAAACTATCAAATCAGGAGAAAATATCTTGTCCAGAGAACCTTCCTAAAATCTCTCTGCAAGCTTCCTGGGCCTCACTGCAATCTCCAAATGTAAACTCCTCGCTTATTCACCAGGTAAGTGTTCCCATAATGACTTTGTCTCAATAATAATAATAATAATAATAATAGTAATAATAATAATAATAATAATAATAATAATAATAATAATAATAATAATAGTAGTAGTAGTAGTAGTAGTAGTAGTAGTAGCAGCAGCAGCAGTAATATTGGAAGGGACCTTGGAGGTCATCTAGTCCAACCCCCTGCTCAGGCAGGAAACCCTATACCATTTCATACAAATGGCTGTCCAGTCTCTTCTTAAAAACTTCCAGTGTTGGAGCATTCACCGCTTCTGGAGGCAGGTTGTTCCACTGATTAATTGTGCTAACTATGTCCACTAAGGTTGAACCATACATAGACATGAGGAAAATGCTTCAGGAGGAAAAATAGATAGACTTTGTATTCTCCATTTAAAACAAATTTCAGATGTATACCAAATTATACAGTCCAGGTTAAAAATTGGATGAGTCCTGTATAACATTGGAAGCCTTCTAATTAAACCTCTGTATTCAAATAACCAGTAGGCCTGGCTATTAAATAAACCTACAATGAGAGTATGAGTGGACCTTATATATGAAAATGTCTGAAAATTTTAAGACTGATGGAAGATCAGTCTATTTATGGCTAATATTGGGTGTGATTAGAGACACCACACAAATGTTTTAGTCAACCAGATTTCCTTGCAATGATGTTAACACACTGTTCTCAGCTGATATTGCTGATTGACAGCTAAGACAGCTAAGAATCAGAACTGTGTCCTCATATTAATGGTTAGTGCTGCCAGATGAAAGTGGAGGCAAGGAACAACCATCTGCTTTTGTTAGTTGATGTATAACATTGCAACTGATGCCCTGTTCTTTGTACTGAATATGAAAAGTGATTTTGTTGGTTTGTTATTTCTTGGCCTTGCAGACCACAGAGAGTGACACTTCCCTTGATGATGGCAGGAGCAATAGCTCAGACGGCAGCTTGCAGACCACACTGGAAGACAGTTTAAACCTTAGTGACTCACCCCAGTGCACCCTGGATCTCCCAGTAGTATTATGCCCAGTGCCAGCAGCCACTCAAAAAGCTTTGGTGGTCCCACTTTCCCCTGTCTCTCGAAGGCAAAGCATAAGGGGACGTGGCATCTTCACTCTCCAGAACATCAGGAGGCACCAGCGGAGCCACAGCAGTGGAGGAAGCACTAGCCCAGGTTGTACTTATCATGATTCCATGGACCCTTCTGATGAAGAAGGGATAGGGAGCAACTTAAGGGGAGGAGGTAACAGCAGTGAGCAGTCAGAGACCCTCAGCAGTTTTTCTCTGACTTCTCTCTTTTCACCTCCTCCTCCATCTCAAGCTCTGGCACTTGTGAAGAAGTGCAACAGCACCAGCAGTCTCCATGCCAACTCTTCTTCACGGAGTTCTGCAGCAAATGAAGCCAAGCAGTTCTACTCAGTTGACCCAAGGGGTTTTTTATCTATGCCATCTTGGGTGACAGACTTCTGCAAGAACAGCCCTTCTCCAAGAGAGGGTGATGTACCAGAGGGCTTAGACAAAATTGGGACTCCAGACCACAGCCCCCCAGTTCCTTCTGAGCTGCAGCTGGGGACCAGAGTCAGCAAGAGACATAGATGAGTCTCTCTGTGGCAGGGAGGAAGAATGAAACGTGAAAGAGGCTTGTTCTGGCTGCCACTTCCTAATAGCAGTTCCCAGTGAGAGGACTGTGAAAAGGGAAAAAAGCAACCACACAAAATATAAATATGTATGTCTGTATGTGTGCACGTGTGTATGTGTGTCCGCTTGTGTGTATGTGTGGAAAACAAGACTTTTGTACCATACCTCAGAGACTTGAGAGAGTGATAGCAATATGAGAACATCCCACATTTGCAGGGGATCACTACTTCTGCAAAGATGACTGTGGGACAAAGTTAAGAGGGTGAAGAAGACACTCCAACCAAATAACTAGCTGGCTGGGTGCAGCTATTTAGCCCTCTGCATATACAAATATATATGTACAGATATATAGAATGATTTATTTATTTTTTTTACAGAGAGCTTAGGACTTTTAGAAAGTGCTAAGTATGAAAAGGGCAGGGTCTTGGGAAAAATAACTTTAAAATGAAATGAGGAATCCAGCCAGATTTTTAGGGCTTGGGTATCTCTTTCAAGCAAATTGCATAATTCATGTTGTGTTTTGTGGGGTGGTGATGGTGGTGGTAGTAAAAACTATGATCCGCATCTTGGTGGGAGGGTGGGGAGCTAGTTATATGAAGATACTCTTGGAGATACTTCGAGGGGGTGCGACAGCATCTGAAGTTCAGCTTTGTTAAACTCCTCAGGTAGCATCAGTGAAATTCTCAGACTCCTTAAATGTGAACACATCCAATAGAAAAGTCTATGTGGGCTGTGTAGAATTGAAAGCTCCAGATGGCCTTCCCCAATCTGATACCCTTGGGAAATTTTAGTTGCCAGAGGGTAATGGGAAGAACCAGAAGAAAAAGCAGAAGCCACATGGCAAAATACTCGGTGCTCTGATTTTCATTGATTGTGCTTTGTTTGTTCGTTTGTTTGTTTGGGGGAGGATTTAGAAAGAAAGCTACGTGAGAAAAACCACTTTGTACTGCTTAGGGATTGGAATTTGTAGTTTATTTTGTTTACTATTCAATATTTGTGAAAAAATCTATTTTAGAAGCCCAGAGGTGCAAAAACCATCTCTAAAGAAAGGTATCCTATTTTTTACAAATATATTGAAAGAAAAAAAAAAGCTAGAGAATGAGGAAGAAGTGTAAGCTCTTTGTATCCAACAGAGGCCTGTTATTTTGATCCTTCTAGAACCATTTCTATGTTTCCATAAGAAAATAACACAATAATGCCTTTCATGGCCTTGTTAGCTAAGTTAAGGTGGTGTCCCTTAGTGTCCCTTAAATAGTGTCAGATGAGATGCCTCCAGCCATTCTAAGAGTGCAAAACAATTGATTAGCACATTTTTACTGATAATCAGGACCAAGCTGCATGTCACAATTTGACACTGCATGTAACTTTTTGAAATGATAAATAATTGCTAGAATGGGAGAAGCAAGATTGGAACCATAACATAAAAAGAGAAAAAAAAATCCAGAATTCTCTGTCAAATCCATTACTAGATTGCAGGGGGGGGAAGGGTAGTGACTTTTCCACTACATTCCTGACAAAAATTCCATTTTACACTTGTGGGAGCTGTTATTTGAAATTAGCAACAGTGGGAGCTTCTCTTTTAAGCCAAGCAATAGTTTCATTAATAGGGTGGCACTGGAGAAAATACTCCCAGTTATGACCCAGCTGCTATTTTCTCTTTTAAAATAACAGCAAACTATCTATTTAATGTCATGTGTTATTTGGCCTTAAGTGAGCATGTGTATGCATGGCTGTATATGGAGGATGGAGTGCTAAAGGCAGAAGACTGGATAGCTGAAACTTGTTCAGTTACATGGCATATGGGATCATTCTCAAAATAAACTACTTTCCCTGTTATAAACCACATTTTCAGCAACTCAGTCACTTTCAAGATACCTTTTTATCATAATGTTTTACATTATTAGCCAAGCCATCAAGCAGAAAGCCTGGCGTCTGAAAATACTATCAATTCCCATTCCAAGACAAGAATGGGATAGTTATACGTACAATTCTCAAATTATTTTGTGATTGACCCAAAAAAAAAATCTGGCAACTTAACTGACTTGGACTGGGCTATGATATACAGAAATAGGCAGTTGAAGATTTTCCACAGCATGAAAATATTCTATTTCAGTAGTTTATTGCTGTAGATTGAAGTACTCTTAAGGATAGATCCAGGCAAGGATTGGCTGAAAGTTGGAGACTGATTTAAAGTGCTCTGGGGAAAAAATGTTAATAGGATATCTCCTTTCCTTGAAACTTGCTCATCTTCCATGAAAGGCTCAATACATATTCCAAGATTGGAAGGGGGGGGGAGGAAAACTTCTCCCTGACTCAATTTCCTGAAAAATTGAGTCAGTTACAGCTGATTTAATAACCTACCTTTACACATTTGGGCTCAGCATCAAGAACCTTTCAACATTAAGGACTATAGCAGAGAATTTTAGAAGACATGGCAATGCTGATGTGTACATCAGATGGCTGCTTTGTTTTTAGTATAATGAGTCAATGAATACCAAATATTTTACAATGGACAGGAGATGAAATCATGATGAATGCATCTCTTGAAAAGTAATGTGTGTGTTTTTAGAGAGTACAAAATTGAAATGAAGAGTTACTAATGCAGAAAAGAATAAAGGAGTTCCTGACTGCTTCAGAGAAAGATCAAGGTCTTCATTAATAAAGCAATAATAGTCCTAATTTTAAATGTTTTGTGTGTGCATCTGTGTGTGCGTGCACGCAGGCACATTAGCTTGTAGCATGCTTTCTGCTTGTTCCTTATGAGGCAGAAATGATAGGCAAAAAAGCAGACCTCTTAAATGTTTTTTGAAAGGACAAGGAAGCCATCCATATCAATGCATAGTAAAAAACTGAAATGAGCTTTGTCACTACTCCATCTGCAGACCCAGTTATTTCTGTTTATCATAACTCTGTGACTATTTGCAGTTATGGCAAAGCAGTTAAATGATAACTTTAGCGGCAATGCAGAAACCAGCCAAGGCACTGTAGCTTCAGTCTGCCAGCCAAAAGAGCTGTGTAAATCTTTTCCAATAGGTAGATAGGAATTTCATGTTCTGGTTGGATCCTGTCTGCTCAAATGTATGGGAATGTGAGTTATATAACTAATATAACTTCCTCATTTGTATGTGTTTCCAGCATTGTTCCAGATTGTCATGATGTGAGCTGAATGTTTGACATTGAATTTGTGCTTAAGTGTACTTGAAGAGTCGAGAGACCAAAAAGAAAACTTACATGTATAGAAAGTGTTTGCACAGTCTGTGATTTGGACAAATGTAGCCTTAAAAAGATGGGAAGATAGTTATGAAAAGGAGCTGGGAGCTTGTGTAGGATTGGAAATGACCAAAATTCTGAAGGTTTTCAGAAGAGAAGAGGGACCACAACTCCTCCCAGACCACTATTTTGTCTCTGTATCAGGTTTATATTATAATTTTCATTTTGACTGGACAATATATAATTTTATGTAATATGTTATTTTTAGAGCCCTAAAAGTGACCTCCGGACAGTATGACAGCTTTGAAATGTGTATCACTATAGAGTCCAATCCCATGTATATTTTATCAAATTTAAGCTTCATTCTCTAACAGTGTTGGGTTGATGGATTTCCAACATTCATGCTTGAGAAAACGTTGTCTTACAATTTTGGGCAGGTTATATTTAAGAACACAAAATTAAATTACTTTCTGCTAAAGTTCTAGGTTGGATTACATTAAAAAAGGACAATTAAAGAATAGTAACATCTGATGATGTTAATATAAAATTATATTTCTAACAATGAGAAGGTGGGGATAAGCGTAGATCTGGCCATAGTTGCACTATAATCTGATGCAATTTACAGAATGAAGTAATGTTCTATTAGGATATTATTAGCTGAGCAAAGTTATGTATAAAATTACTCAGTGACATTCCAAGATCCAATCACCCAACAACTACCTTAGCATCAGTCATATCACATAAGAAATTAGAGAAGCACTTTGCTGATACCAGGGGTCAATTCATCTTCAGGGATATAATTCTAGATATCAATTCATACCTTAATACCAAACTTCTTCAGAGAATGCATGCAGAGTTCACAACTGTTCTTAAATCATATGGAAAATCATGAATAATTATTAACATGAAAGTGCTAACAACACATTGAATCCTGGCTTCCAATTTATATGAAACTGTCATATGTACAGTAGTGTTTCTCATTGCAGACAATTCTTCTGTAATATGGGGACCAGATCTTCAGCGTAACTTGGAGAAGGGAGAGGATACTTGCCACACTTTAGGCATTGAGCTCTACATGTGACCAAGCATCTAAACTAATTCCTCCTGATGACCATCTAGTATTCTGAGCCATAGTTTCTCTGTGATTTCTGGATAGGATATTCTAATCACAACAACAACAAAACACTTCTTCATCTGTGTCACATATACTACTCCCTTCAAAATGCTTCAGCATTCTGGCCAGTTTCATACTAACACGTATTTCAAAAAGCATTTTTCTTATGTTAGTAGGCTTGAATCAAACTGAGCAAATTCTGTGATTCTTGACTCATCTCCTTTGTGTGTGTGCCTGTGTGTCTATGTTTTCCTTTTGCAGACACCTTAATCACTTACTTTAAACTTTTAGTAGTAGAGGGTTGTTTCCATCAGGAAGTTGCAAGATGATTCTGCTTGTGATCCAAAGATGCTTAGCCAGATGTCTAGATTTAAAGCGAACTTTTCCTTACTCACAAATAGATGTAAACAAGATTGCCTTCTTAGTGTGTGCCTATGCGGCAGATACCTTGAATTACAAATGCAGGAAATGAATAGAACTAAATTGAAAAAAATAATAATTTTATTTGTGAAGTATAGAATGTATGCTGGCCTTAGTTGCAGGTAATATTTATTTATTTATTTATATTTTTAAAAGGTGCTACTGCTTATTCATGACAATAGAAGTCCCAAGTAGTTTGCATTATATTGTATATCAC